ATGACGACAGAAGAGTTCTATGAAATGTTTGGCGAATCTGACTATGAATCGGACGTTGAAGGATTTTGATTTTGTTTATTTACCAAGGTATTTTTTATCCTATATTTACTTTTTTTCTCAGATGATTTGAATAAATGTTGTACTTTAAAAAAATTTTCGAAGTTTCTCGATCGATTTCGGAAGTGGGGGGGTCGACTTGTACGCGGTATCGACTTATACGCGGGTATATACGGTAATTTGAATGCTGTTAATGACTGCGACAGACTTTGCATCAAGAAATAACATGTCAAATGTTTGTAGAAAATTCGTCTCAAAGGCAGGGCGATACCACAGCCACAGCATTTATGACTGCCTTAACAGGATAACATGACTATCGGTTGAAGCATAGTTTCTCAAATAAAAGGTAGCTAGTAGTTACTGGGTTGTCAAAGAATCATGTAAAAATTTATAAACAATCCGAAAACTAGATTTTTTACTCATAAACGTAGCATTGCGTGCGAATTTCATATTTTAAACTGTCTCAAGGATATTTAATATCTTTTCTAATTTAGCTTTTACCTGCTGTACTCAGTCTAATGTATAAAATAGGTACGTTGTGTACAATACGTAGTTTAATGTATTTAACCTATTCTCCCTTTTGTCAAAGGCGGGAATTGAGATGAATAAGCAAACAGAATACTAGGACTTAGCTATGAGTGATGCAGATAAAGTCCTGTTGCGCACTACCGTGCTAGAAAAATATTTAAAAAGGCTTATTGGTAGCGCAGGAGTAAGTACGTTAACGGGTATCATCCTACATTATCATTACATCATTAGGATTTTTTTTTGTGAAAGGCATATTTTAATCAGTACTGTGATCGTGTCATAAATGTGTAGAAATGTTTCGGCAATTAACTCATATAAGGGAGGGAATGTCGAAGAGGCTTGGACGGATTTTTAGTTTATAGCCAAGCATACTAGGGTTACCTATTTAAGGAGAGGGCTGCCTTCGTGAATGACTTTCTAAGAGTATTCATATCCATATTACCCATGGAGAAAAACACGGAAATTCTCATATAGCCAATCCCTTTGCAGGAATTAGAACCTGGTCGAATTATCAGTATTCAGCGATCTTATCATCTGAGCCACTCAGTGGCCCGGTGCTAAAAAAAGGCCATCTTTCTTTCGTTCTAAGATTCACCCCTTAATCAATACCCCGAAGCGAGAAAACTCTTCAGTTATAAGCAAATAAATTAAATAATTTAATAAAAGATCCTGAAGCATCTCGTTAATATTTTTTAATAATCGACTTCGATTCATTAACAGCATTGTATTTATTTAAATTAATATTTAAAAAATTAATTACTTCAAAATGATTTGTAATTCATAAAAATATACGAGTCTAAAAATTCTAACTATTCTAAAACATACTTCATGTTTAGCGACATGTATACAGGGAAAAGTGCTTTTTATAATTAAAGAACTACGATATTACGTTTTACAAACTTGGAATGGGAAAATTATGTAAATTACTTATGTGTTTATACATGTTTTTATTTAAATTAGATCCTTTATTATTAAAAATTGTTAAAAATAAGACATAATGAAAAAGATTTTCAGATGCTAAATTACAACACTAAAACTGCCTTAATTAATGGTCTGTTGATCATACAGCACGTGTCTGGACTGACATTTTTTTCTTATGAAGCTACTTCACATGTAATATAAACTACACTTCAGCGTAAATAACCTTTGAGCTGTAAGAAGAATCACTTCGAGGAAGAAAGCGAACACTGAACCAACTAGCATTTCGAGAATAAACGGGCGTGGGTACTTAATTTATTAGACGGGACTCTTTGCATCCTAAAGTACAAATCGTGATTACGAAGTCCGCCATGTTGTCACGAAGCCCTAAGCCTAATTACAAAGCTTACTAATTGCCCAAAACCTTACTTAGAAGCTCCCCATTTCCCCCTTCTGCTTCACGAGAGTTGAATGCTAGTTAGAACGCGGGGGGGTCTAGAATAGTATTCACGGCTCCCGTAATTTACTCAGCTTATTTTATATTTTGTTACTGTAGTTGATATTAAAACATAATAATAAAAAGGGAAATGAGGCGTGGAGTTTGGATTTAAGCATTAATGTTGCAGCTACAGTAAAGTTTTATAGTGTACTGCAGTCTAAAGAATGCTGATTTTTTTAGAAACGCTTGTGAAACCTTAAATTTAAAATGATATCTTTGCCATTGGAATATGCAAGCCAAAATGATCCAGTAATAGTCTCTAAAATATATTTGTCGCAAATGACATGTTAGTTTCACAATATACTATTTTCACTCGAATTTCTTTGATTTACGCATTCTTCGTGTCATCTTTAATTTTAATAAGTGACCATTTTACGTAACTGTTGTTTAATTGCAGTGATTAGAAACTAATAATGCAGAGGGCGTGTTGTAACTCCATTAAAGCTGTGGTATAAAGAGTGAAGAATGCAATTTATCTAAAAAAATAATTAAAAAAAAGGGTACCAAAAATATGTTCCATATATGTGTGTGGTTCATCATCCTTGAAATTCTGAGTTGAAGAGCCAGATGGAAATTGAAAGTATGGTGATGTGATAATAATTGAGACAATAGTTTTTAAATAATATATTTTACCCAATGGCGGGCACTTGTCATTGTAGGTGTTGGCCACTACTAAGACCGGAAGCAGTGATCACTTTATTATGGAGGTACTTAATAAGTTGGCCACCGTTACCTGTTATGTAGGGGACGGATAATTTACATCCATGCTTTCTCCGGAATTCGAGCTCGGGCCCTTCGGTACGGCAGTCAGTGTCAGTAACCACTTTCTCATCTGGACGGCACCGTAAAGAATGTTACTCAAACTCAAAACCCTAAGCTAAAAAATCTGCTAATTTTAAAATATCCAGTTCAATTTTGATATTCACAATATATATATATATATATATATATATATATATAGTGCGTATATTTAAAGTTAATAGAATTCCGGTGAAAACGAGGAATACGCTTTTACTAAATTTAAAAGAAATATTTTTTTGCATTATAGAAGTATTCATCTGAATAAGATAGAACTTCCATTTGTAATACTGGAAAGGACTCTTATGATCCGATTATATTATTAATTTTAAATCTTTTACGGTTTAAAACTGAAGAATCTCGCAAAGCAGGATTATGGAAAAATCCTTTCAGCTCTATATAATTTTTTAAAATTAGCATAAAGTTCTGTGAGGAATTATATCTTCCCCCCCCCTACGTGTTCTCATGACATAAATGGTGAACATATGTAGCTAGTCAAGTGGAAGATCCCGGATTCGAATCTCGGTGGAGGTACTGTCTACTTCTCCTACTTCCTGCTTCGAAAAAACCTACCAGCCTCTAAAATAATTACCGATCTTAAATGTGGTCAACGATAATTCGATGCCACCTAGACTTGGTATACTGAATTTCCTGCATTTGCTTTTTAAGTAGGGGAACAGTCTAAGGCAGCGGTTCTCAACCTTTTGACTAACGCGTACCATCTAAACAAAAACTGAAAACCTTTAGTACCACCACTACAGAGTACTACTATCATCACCACTCTTGAACAAAACTCAGATCGCATAAATTTACGAGTGTTAGAGAAAAAACTCATTCAGAATGTTGGGGTTTTAATTTTTGAATTTAATAGTTAAAAATACTTTGCTTCTTTGCGTACCACCTATTTTTCTCTTGCGTGCCACCACTGGTGCACGTACCACCGGTTGAGAACCCCTGGTCTAAGGAATTAAATCGCAATCCCGTATGCGCTTTTTAGATATAAGTGGACGTCCAGTACCTACTTGTCTAACTAGCAAGATGGAGTAAGCTCCATGATTCAAATCTCTGAAAAGACACAGTTGATTTGTCACATTTCTTACTCCAGAAATTCTAATAGTTTCTCTGCAGCGATACTGCTAAACGTTTTCTCCGAAAGCTCTAAAACTGCATTTGTGAAAATTCAGTACCATTAAATTAATTGCATAGCTTATACAGCTAGTTTTCATCCAGGCTCATCGGTAAACTTCTACATTAATAATTCAGCAAAAATTATTTAAAATGAATTTTCTATGTTTGACAGCATCACCTAGGTTTGGGGTTCTGACTTAGTTATGATAAAATTAAATTATCGTTGAAATTAACAATTTATTACTTGATTCAAATTTAATGATGCACTCAAACTTTATTTTTCATCAGCTCTAGAGTCAAAAATTAAAATTTCAATAATAACTCGAAAGAGAGAATAAAAAGGCGAGAAAGAAAACTTCCCCAAGTTGGAGTCGACAGCTCATTGCTGAGAAATCGTTTAAAATCTTATGTGCTGATAAAAGTATTATGTTACCGATTCGTTATTTTACTGTTCATAATGAATAAATTTCTCAAGCAGGTCAGACTCCTTTGCTTTCCAAATTTTGTATTTCTGTACATTGCTAGTTAAGAATAGAAGACATACGGCCCATTTTAATAAGCATCTTAATTGAATTAAATCGTCCTCTAAGTATTAAAATATTCTCCGTCAACCAGAAATATTCTCTACAAATTCTTTTTAATCCTAAAGCTATATATACCACAAAATATTGAATTATTAATGACTTTTCTTTTATGCAGGATTAATTTCATTTAAAAGGATTTATATCGAATATGTCCCCCTCCCCAGAAAATAGTGGGATTAGACGGTCCTTTAATTTTTGAGTGTTTCCTCCTACATGATATGCAGCTGCTTTAAAAAAAAATTTAAGTAGGTTATATGTATCGAATTTTGCTATTTTTGCCTTAACAGCAATAAACTGGGAAGAAATTTATTCACTTAGGTATTATCAATTATACATTTAAACGTAAGTGAAGAGTTATAAATATTACTTGAGCATTCTGCACATTTACTTTTAATAATGGATAGATGATTATTTGTAAGACTATTCACCATAAAATATGAAGTTTTCTATTTAAATACGTTAATTAAAATATGGATTTTTTATTTTAGGTGAGAAACCTTATACGTGCACGTGGGAAGGTTGCACCTGGAAATTCGCTCGATCTGATGAACTCACTAGACATTATAGAAAGCACACAGGGCAAAAGCCATTCAAGTGCCAGTTATGCCAGCGATCTTTTTCACGATCTGACCACCTTTCTTTGCACATGAAAAGACATTAGAACTTAAAAAAAAATCTCAGGTAAATTGTCTTTTATTATTTATAATGATCCATAAAAACATATATTACAAGTATCTGTTCAATCTGTAAGAATTTTAATCATGGCGATAATGTTTTTATGTATCATATTATAATTTCTTGAGGGCTATTAGAATATCAATGAATGCTTATGCAGTTAATTGGATTTTATTTATTTCTGTAATCTTCGTGGTATTTCCTTAGCGAATCCGCTTTTTAACTTTCTTTCTCAATCAAAGATGCAGAATTACGAGCTTTCAACAGGCTAGGTAGTCAAAAGATGCCTCAGCTTAACTACATGGACAAACCTAACAGAGACTCAAAATTTTGAGTGTGCTAATAATACGTTTTTCAACAGACCGTAAAGTGAACTGAAATACTTATTCGTCGTTGCTCATACATTAAGAAATGAATAAGTTTTGTTAGCATCTGTCGTGTTAATGGTAATTAGGAGTCAACTGTATCTTCATTTTCTGCAGTAGGGTACCTTTCAACATAACCAATTATTAAAGAGTTGAAGCCAGCAAACATTAGTAACTTCTTTCCACGTTCGATTCCGGTGACCTACAGAGCTAGTTTCGCAAGTTACGATAACGGTGATATTGAAGCTGATAATATCCCTCATAAAAGAGTCGATGGAATACAATGGATTAACTCTCTTACAAAGATAAACCGCTTCTGGATAGAAACTGTAACTTTATTATAAAATTGTAAAATTTATTTATGTTCTGATTTATTTTATTTTCTTTCTTACAGAGAATATGGAGCGTATACTTATCTAGTTTTTGTACAGATTTGGGTGAAGGATGCCGCAAGTATTAAACACCCATCGATCAAATTCAGTTTGATATTTGAGCATCCTGTATAAGTATTCATCCACACACTACAAAAAAAATCCCGATTTCTTTGAGCTGAAGAAACTAAAACACTTTTCCGAAGCAAAGTTTTATATGTATTAGAGATTATGGTGCTGAACTATGTCTTACTGCTTTCGGTCTGAGAGAAATGACTCCAGTTTTCTGATCTTTGTTTTAAGATTGATCTTGACTTTTATGTGTATATATAACCAGTGATATATTTTCCTGATACTTTTTTTTTGGAAGGAACTTACTTAAAAATATGTTTACTAAGAAAACTGCCAGTAGAACTCTTACAAACTCTTCAAGGCTTTGAAGATTAAAATAGAAGAAAAAAAAAGTTTATCAAAATAATTTCATCGTAAAAGCGGACATTTGAAGAAAAGATCTTAGGCCACTAACCAACATATATACTGTGATGAAATAATGTTGATGGACGTGATCTCCTAATAACCTTCGAGATAATTCTATCCATGAAACTTACACTTAGTTATCTAAGCAATTTATTCTCCAAATATATATAGACCAAGTTTACTAGTGCAAAGTATTTAAAACTGGTTATATTACTCGTTGCTGACGTTTTTAACTTTAAAATGCTGCAGAAACTGTGGTCTTTCGGTAGTATTTTTAGTTGCCGTACGAGACTTAAATCTTTATATATGAGGAAGAATGATTAAACTGCATCCAGGTTTGGATTCTTCAGTAATATTACAAGTAAAGATTAAGATTATTGTTATGTGTATTCACAAATCTTTTAAAGTTCCTCACTAAACTATGTGCCTTTATTCCACTCTGGTATAGATTCTTCAGTTGTTCGTTTTTCATCATTCAATGTGATAAATTTAAACCATCTGGGAAAAAATTATTGAATTATTATTATTCTTGTAGCATATTACTGTTTAATTACTGTGAAAAATTTATTTTAAAAATGCTTTGATTAATTTAATAGTTTGCTTGTTAGCTTTGTCACTATGTGTTATGTTTTTACACATTTTGTTTAAATTTCATGCGAAAACATTATGATAACTCAGACAGAGGTTTGGAAATTCGGCTTAGAAAATCTTGTCTGTTGTGCCAAAATAAGCTGGATCCAGGCGCTGGCTGCCAACGCTGATATTTCTTGTTTAATTTATAGAGTTTATTTGATATTGGAGAGAATTGCAAACATTCCAGAATTTTCTATGATGATGTAGTATAAAATGTAGATTTTACAGAAGTATGTGTACAGTAAGTTATGCACTTTTAAGTATTATTGAAAGAATATCTGTATAAAGATATTTATATATAGGTTATACACAAAAAGAAAGAAAACTTATTTTTATGAACATTCTCTTGGAAAACATCATTTTGATGGTCTCAACTACAGTACTGCCAGAGGCGACTGACACTGATCCATCTGAACTGTCGGTGAAACTAATTTTTATCCAGACAGAGAATAAAACGCTAAGTAGTTTTCTACGGTAGGAAGTAACCGTCCAGGTGAAATATATATACTTCGATGCTGTTTACATTTACCATTAGTATATCTTAAATTGCCGCATTTGTATGGTTAAAGTGAAAGCTTGTTATGCGTTCAATTTAAAAGTTTCGTGGTTGTTATGCTGTGGTACCCCGACGCATTGAAAGTTACTTTTATTTGCTCTTCTTTATAATAAACTCATTTACAGTACTTAGAGTTGCCTTTCACTATTTCTTTCTTTCTCTCTGTCTAAACAACAGAAAGAAAATCCTGTAAATGTGAAACAGTTTCATATTATTTTCATTCGTAACATTTAAATTCCAAGTGCTTACTTCTTTTCCGTTCAATTAGATTCTATAATAAACTTAAATAAAGTTATCCAAATTCTACACTTAAGTATTTCTTAAGCTAAAGAAGGTCTGTCATAAATAAGCAGTATCCTCCCTCCCTATGAGTGGATAAAAAAACTTCGAGAGAACTATCCCTCCACGACCCACATTTTTTTTATACAAACTGGAGTGAAAAATTATGATGTCACATCTGATGCTAGGAAAATAACCTTTACTTTAAACGTGAAAGTAAATCAAACTTTACAAATTTTGAAATGTTCCGTCTATCCAAAATTCACATTAGGTGTTCAAAATGATCACTTCGCATATTTACGCATCTTCGTACTCACTGTAGAATAGCAGGTCCAAAAAGGAACCCCAAAATTCAGCAGCCCGGCTGTAGAATAGCTGACTAAATATGATCCAAAAAGCAAGTCCAAAATCCAGAAGCAGATGAACACTGATAATACGCATATGATAAATGCTCATACCCTAAACTCTAGTATACAACAGCTATCACGAATAAGTTTCGTAAACGTATTATTATTGATAAAGTAGTAGTTTATTTTGTTAATCAGTTCTCATACTTATAATATTTTAAATAAATTTATTCTCCTTGAACCAGTTATAGTGTTATAACGTTTCAAATAAGATTTTCTCTAAAATTATAAGTCGTAGAGTTACATTTCTTTGGTTACACTTTATCCACTCAAAGCGAAGAATAGCACTAATCGTTTTTTTTTTTTTGGGGGGGGGGGATATTCTTTGTATAAATTCTACTACGTTCTAACTCTCTTTCTATTCCATTTTTGCATAATGTGCGAAGAAAGTAACTTGTAAACGTTATCAGATTTCAAATGTGTAAGTTAAAAATATATCTACTAATTTTAAAACAATAGTTTAATTTTATTAATTAAAAAAACTGAGAGCAGATAAAAACGATTTTGAAACTTGATTAAATGATTGATAAAAAAGTAAAGTCCCGTGACCACAGCACGGTAGCCCAGCAATTTAAGCGGCTTCATTATGTTCATTCTTTTCTGTGATGGAATTTTTTTAATGGAAATAACTGAAACATTCCTAAAGAACCACTTTTTATAAACTTAAGAATATGAATCTGACTTTAAAAGATTAAACATTTATCACAATTATTTCCATTGTGAAAGAGAATTTTAGAACGTTTCGTACTTATACATTTCGTTTCGATCAAATCATTAAAGTCATCTTATGTTCCGCACTGTATATTAAATATTTGTGTTTGTCATATACAAAAAGGCATAAAATTTATGTTAATGACTTACATAATTTCTTTCCTGGTAGTAAAAAATGTGGATAATTTTATTTCACTTAAAATTTGGCAATATTCATATTTGTGGAAAACCAACATTACTTTGATGTTGCTTAGTGTCTGACTTGTATTGTTATCTGTGACATTTGTTTTCACACATATGTTTTTATATGGGCATTATTTTTACTCTCATTAAAAGTTCCTTCTATATGCGGTTAAGGCTAAGTATATTTTCTAAAGATAGAGAAAGTATTTTTGGAGAAAGAAGATACTAATCCTTGATTAAAATTAGTTAAAATTAGTTTAATCAAGGTTTTACTGACTGTTTTTGAAACTGATTTCATACTGTTGTAACTCATAAGAGCTTAAGTTTGCCTGAAAACATAAGACACGTAAGATCTTAAATTTCTCCTCATTCTTGAGTTGCAGAATTAGAGAAATAATTTAACATTTAGAGACTTTATATAAATTAGTAGTATTTCCTGGGATTAATTTGATCCGATTTGGTTCATTTGACACATTTTTGTCTAAAAGCTAGTCTCAAATTTAATTTACTATGGTTTTAGTATGAATCTGAGAAAAGTTTATTCTTTCAATTTTCATATGAATCTAAAAGTTCAAAGTGAACTTACTGCGCTCACGAAAATCCCATTTTTCATAGATTTAAATGATTTACTGGTCAATTTTATAATTTCGCTGCCTAATAAATGTAAAGAAAGTAGAGGGAAAAGCAATAAGGTTCAATTATAACAGCGTACTAACAATTAAAAAAAATTAAACAGGCATTGCAAGATACATGTACTTCTGTTTTTTTCCCAGACAATACGATAGTTAGAATGCAAAGAAATTAATGCAGTCTTTTTATTCTAGTTTGAATTATTTGAATTTAAAATATAATAACATCTGGTATGTAATATTTGACATATTCAAAATAAATTTCCTAAAATTTCATTCTACTGACTTCATGTTTTTCTGAACTACCCAAATTTTAATGCATTTGTTTTTACAAAGCTTTCCACCTGACGGATTAGTATCTTCTCAAATCCATTAATGCTTTTTATTTCTGGTGCGGATTTAACTCCGACGGGCATTGTATTTTCATATCTTTATTTTGGGAGTATGGTCATCAGAGATATTTTGTTCTCTGATAATATTTTGACTTTTTGTACTCGGTTTAAAATAAAATGGTATTTTAATAATACTTAAATTTGTTTTGTAAACTAATGTAAATTTTAAAATGATCTCAAACGTATTGTGAAGCTGAAGCACTGTAAATAGGAAAGGTTTAAAAAATGCTACGCCCTTTAATTAAAAATTTTCATACATAATATTATAATTCTGCAATATGAGAATGAAGCCTTGTAACGTAATTCGTGTTCCTGTACGAAAACTGTGAATCGTAAAATCCTTTGAAATTTAAAAACAGCTAAATTAATCGCTGGTTAGATGTGATTTAAACCCATTTAGATATGCTGAATAATGGTAGCTGATCGCTTATTTTAAAAGCGTATGAAGAAAAGGATAAATCAATATAGATAACGGTGCAATAATAATAAAATGGCCTATATATAGACCCTATATGAACGTATAATACAATTTGAGCGATATTGTTTGAAACTATAATAGGAACGAAAGAAGTAAGGGGTTAAGAAGGCTAATTTTATATATTGGCATCGCACAGATTTACATTTCAGCATTTTTATAAATGAGACAGTGTAAGGAAATTGCATCATTTAGTTTCGGATAAGTCTAAATGAAGGAAACTTGTTCATTCACCTGGCACAGTACTCGGACAAATTTTAAAAACTTCCACTGATATAGTACCGATGAAAACAAAAAGTCTTGATTGTTTCGTTTTTCAAGCAGACTTAATATCTAGTTCGCTTGCTGCTTTATTCTTAATTGTTCATTCAGTTATTTTCATATAGCTTTTCTCTTTTTGAATAGCATGTTTAATTTCTTTCAAACGCGTTGGGAAAAATTTCATAAAATTTTTTTGATGACCCTCAAAGTTCTTTTAGTCGTCTTTGAAATTACTGCAAACTTCTCTCTAGTTAAAAAAGTAGATTTGTATTCTACAGCTTTCCATGATTTTTTTCCAAAGCTTTTTGCTTTCAATGCTACTTACTTCTTAATCCATCATATTACAGAAAAACTCGTTGTTATTTTATTGACTGAGGAGTATTCATTCCAGCATGGGTTCAAATGTCTTAAATACTTTCATCATCATCATCACTTATACCACAGTTTTTCGTTTTTAAGATGGCAGTTTCTTTCTTCTTATTCCTTTTTTATAAGTCATGACAAGGATTTACGAGAAGCAGAAGGTCTTTCAAATTATTTTTTCGTTTTTGTGGTGGCCTTCGAGATGTAGGGCATTTAGAAACGATTCCTTTTCTAGCCTCGATTGTTTCGGTTTGAGCAGGTCGAGAGCATGAGCTTGGCCATCCTTTTTGCACGAGTGTTTGTGCTTAATATGCTCGAGGCTTTTATTTTAAAGACGCAGCGTACACTTGCACCATTTGTCAATCACGTTTCCCTTTCTCCATCATCTGCGCTAGACTCAGATCTATACTATCTAACGAAGATCTTCCAAACAAAACATTTTCTGTGCTGTAAGTCTGTGGAAAGAGAAATTCCTAAAAGAATTGTCGGTTGCTCATAAAGTGAATTAATTTTAGCAATTTAAAAAATGTGAGGGGAAGGTTATATTAATATCAAAAAGCTGCACTCTGTATGCAATTATATTGGGAAATAAAACATTATTTATATTTGATTTAATGCTACAATGCTCGGACCAACATACTTATTTGATCCGGCGTTAGTTCGAATGGTAAAACAGCAGAATTTTGGTTTTTGGTCCCAGGCTATTTTCGGTAGCCGAATGCAGTGGCTGCACGCGGATTCCCTTGCTTCTCCAATGTATTCGGCCGACTATTCGATGTAAATAGGAATCTTGTTGTTTTGTCGCAACTAAAACGGGAATAAAGCCTACTTTCTGGTGGATTTATTCCAGAAGTAATTATTTCGGTGACTATTAATAACAACATAATTATATCAGAGAAGTGTTTATATGTGCACTCGTAATGTCGTACGATTAATTACGGTATTTTATACCCCGTTGGGCTAAATATGCATGTTATTATAGGCAAATTGATTCATTGTCATAATCGTGATGAGTCACCGGATGATTAATATAAGTAACAGAAAATTCCTCCTCTATTTTATACATATGTTATCCTGAAATTTGTGCAAGAGTACTTGTCCTCTTTTATTTTCAGTGCTTTAGTGCTGTAAGTGGTATTTTTGATAATTTGAAAAAATATTGTTACAAAATTTTGTGCACCAACAAATTCTTAAGATAATATTGATTTTACACATTTGATGTTATTTATGAATTCGTTAATTAATTTATTAATCTTAAAAAGTTAGTGTAAAAGCAGGTGTTTGATCACTGCATTAATTAAGTTTTACTTAAATCCGGCAACAGGATCTGTCATTGTTTACCTTACAAAAAACATCAATGGCATTTTTCTCTTACTTTATATTATTTTTCTTATTTCAAAATGAGAATTGCTGTTGTTTCTTTCCATTTAAGAACTTACCTTTTAATGACTTAACTATTATAATGTATATCAAATGCATATTAACATAACATCAAAACTTGATGGTTTGAAAACGATGTTTTAGATCAAGAAATTCAATTTAATAATACAATTTTAAAAATAGACTTTAAATGGCTGTAGCATTACTTTTAATGTTTTTCAAGGTTATACCTAAAACGAGATTATCTAAAAATTACGCTGATTTGTCGTAAATCTCTTAACTTAGTTCATAAAATAATAGGTAAAAAATTCTCATATGCGCATCTGCAATATAAGAACTTAACATAAGATCCACAGTTGTCAGTTTTGACAAAAATCTTTTATGTCATTTCAATCCCAAGAAATTTATTATTCCTTGTAAAGCTAATTTTACAGCTGACATAAGTGTCCTGCAAATTATCCTGCTTAAATTTCCTTCTGAGATGCCTCAGTGAGTCACTTGAGAAAGCGGTCAGTTAGTTAAAATTTTAAAATTTAAATTAATTTTATAACGTTAGATGAGATGCCATTTACAACTTCATTGTGCTAAACTGTTTTTAAATATTAAAATTTTGTCAATAAAATTATTTTTATATTTAGCTCTGAAAAGGTAACAAATATTTTAAAATAATTTAATATTTTGAATATATAATTTAGTAACTCTATATTAAAATAATTGCCAAGTACATTAGACTTTTATACCTTACAAGCAAGCAAATTATATTTTAATAGAAATTATTTTCATACAAATTACCTTATCAAAAACTAAAGCCGAGAAAAATGCTAATATAGTAGCAGAATCATCTATATAATAACACAGAATCAAACCCGCGATTCAGTGGTATTCGCTGATCTGCTTACGATATTAGGATATTGTAACTTTAACTAGTTTGTTAGGAAAACATTTTATGACACATTCTAAAATGTGTTTAATAAATTTTTATGCTAGATAGTATTCATGAATTTAATGTTATTTTATTCTGCCTGTGAAGATAGAAGGATGGTTTGATGAATAATTTTAGAGAACTTTGCATTTATACTAATAGTTTCAGTACAACAGCAATTTCATATAATATGAACATTTTAGAAAGCGTTATTTCACAGGAAAAATATGTTTCTAAACTATGATGTTTAATACCTAATGCATCATTATTCTTGGTTAAGTTATTCACTAGACTGATCTTACTTAGAATAGAGTTAAGAAAAAAGACTGGAAATTTACAGCCAGATAAAATACTTTGAATAGTGTTCAAACACCATCTCATTTTACGCAGGTTTTATAACAAATCGCGCATTAAATAACTCAGGTAAATAAAAAAAGTATTTTCAGTGAAGATTTTTGTGATGGTGAACAGCTGTGCAATTTCATAGGGTATTATGAACTGTTTCCTCGTGTAATGCGTATTAGAAAAAGTTACTATTTGTTCTAATAGTGTGTTATTTCATGTTATATTTTCTGATGACATCAAAGCTTATTGTATTTATCAAATCTGAACGCAGCCCTTCATTGCTGATGATAACATGTCCTTTATTATTTGATGTCGGTAACTGTAACAGTCTTTAAGAAGATAACAATTGAATTAAGTATTACAGCTGATGTTGAATTTTTTTTTTTTATCTTGTATGTTGTTCATAGAATTATGCTTAGTTCGAATGTCTTAAATATCTGTTTAAGCTTAGTTCTGAAATTTGCTTGGCTTTCAAAAATTTTTTTTTAACTCTCAAAAAATCTGACTATTAGTTTATTGGCTTCATATTAGTAATCAAAGTATACATTCATTTAAGTCCATACAGTATCACATGTTAATTATGTTTGTTAATATTGCATAAAATGATAATTTTAAAATGGTTTTATGCGTATACTGGTAAGAAAACATTCGTGTTTATCGCTACAGAATACATTTATATTAAATTATTTTTGGCAATATGTTTAAAAATTTTACAAATGCTAACATTCTTTAACGTTTCTTTACATACTTTCGTACTATTTATTTACTAAAATTTAAGGTTTCAATTAAAATTTGTCTAAGCAGCTGCCTGAGACTCTTCTTACACATACTTAATTACTGTGTTCGTGAAATTAACAAATTAATTTATTGATCAAAGTGATAAATCACGTAATATCGTTAGGTTTATAATTTCTCGTAATGTTAAAAATGTATTATGATTTTAGATTTTAAGAAACGTGATAAAGTTAATGTACGTACGCAGTTACTACGTGTCATTTACTAGTTCAAAGAAAAATTTGCAAAAATATATCTAAAAATATTATTTAAAAAAAAGAATTTCATAAAAAATAAACTATTGTTTAAAAACTCAAAGGAAGATTATTTTTCTTTTGAGAATATTTAAGAGCAAAAGTTTAAGAATAAGAAAAGTACTTTTTACTCAAATGTGTGAGTCCGAAACTTTAGTCGCACCCTTTCCTGTTACAGCAAGAAAACATGTAATATATTCGCAAGGCCAGCATTCAGTGGAGTCTCCCCATATCCATTGTTAAAAACAATAGATACATTAATTTGAAATGACAGATAGCTCGCACCGTAAAGTTCTGTAATTTGAAAATGATTTATGTTGGTGTCACATCGTGATGCTGGCATCCGTTTCGATTAATAGACTTATAGTTTAAAAGGGTAGAACTATATCCATTCAATGCCCTTCTATACATAAAATATCTCTGCTGCTTTCATTTAGGATTAGATATAGTGCATTGATTCCTTGTTACCTTTTCTCAAAATGTATGATTATAAACTTATCGAGTTTTATCAGTGTAAAAATTAAAATTATTTCATTTCAATAAATCGGTTATTTATTTTATAAAATCCACTTAAGGTCAAATATCGAAAAAAATCATCTATATATTTTTTTGTTGTTAAGGTTAAAACATTTGAGGAAAATTATTTGTAACTTTTAGGGAATTTTACCAGCATCAGCATATTCTGAATGTAAGAATTTCGAATCTCCTGCAGAGTTTCTTACCTAATTAACAACATACGTATAATTACATAAAATCGAAAATGGTATTTAATTTTTCAAGATATTTTTAGTTCTAGTCTTAATTTATCAATCTTTAATTTATTTCTAAAAAGTTAAAGATATTGTTAATTTTAAAAATATTTCGTATTGCTAGTTTACAGTTGATAGGTTAAACAAAATTTTTAAAAATTCTAATATTTTCTAGTACAGCAGTATTAAAGTAAAGGCATTATTAATTATTAAGACCTGTAAACAATCAAATGAAAAATCTGAATTAGCTTTTCATTGGTAAACTTATCAAAATAATAACAAAAGTAAAAGTAAATCTTCTTAGCTGCTTTGCAACTAGCAAACAAACTTAACCGCACGTTTCAACTCTGATGAAGGTAACCAAGTATTATGAATGATTTAAAACCTTCATGAAAGATCCCCTGAATCTGAACGCTATTTAATATAGCACGTAAAAACTATTTGCTACAGAATTAAAATTAGAAATAAATCCAGCAATAGATTCAATGAAATATTCAGGCATTTTTTTAAGATCTTAAAAGCTTTACTTGAAAATAATTACACTCTGTTTACTATGATTTGATGTAAACATAAAACTATGAAATATTTCGAAAACGTTTGTGATAACATCAAACTAGTATAACTTTCTCATATATCATATACTAATTAGCTGCTCTTTTAGATAAGAATCTTGTGATAAAACTCTTTCTTCTATATTATGTATCAAACCCACATTTTTTCAAGTATGAAGTACTGTTAAAATTATCATGTAATACAAGCAGTATCGCATCAATGTGGATCAGATGATGTTTTAATAATACAGTATATTCCACGCTGTGCATCTTTGATCTAATTTTGTTGATATACACTCATTTGCATTTTTTAAAATGTTCTATTAATGAAAATTGGATAAGCGAAACTTCTTAGTTTTATTTGTAATAAAAATGCGTCATGTATTTATACAGAAGCCATTCGTAATTTTCTTACCATATTTTCTGACATTCCTTTTCTGTGTGCTGTTTGTATGAGGTAAATAATTCTTGCTTTTGATATTGTTCCAAGAAAGCAAGGATGTTGATGTTTAAGTATCAGATTATTATGAGAGTAATTTATACATTTATGATATATTATATTTTGTAATGGATGAATTGTGCATTACGAATTAAAAAAATTTATGAAAAATATTTTGTTTATTGATCTGTGTATTTTTACTTAAACAACTCCTTCGATACTATAGTAAAACTGCCTCACATTATACTTTTTCGAAATGCAACATGTTAAACCATTATTATTGATACATATATTTCTATATAAATTATTAAAGAAAAATGTATAATTAAGTTCTGACTTTACGAAACTTTCTTTAATCTCATTTGGCCAATTTTCTGTGAGTAAACTGCTTAACCAGATAGCTGGTATATGTTTATCATAATTAATTTTCACAATGGAAAAATGATAATTATAAAAATGCTGCATTTGAGAAAGATGCATAAATAAACAGTTTTCTCAAACTTTTAGATTTATATATGCATTTCAGTACTTAAAAATAATAAAAGGTTGAAACTTACCATTGCAACTCTGACTATAAGATGATTTAAAAAAGAAAATCCACTAACAATTCAGGGCTAAAGAAAAAGAAGGGCTAGGTCATCCGTTTGAGGGGGAACGATGCCGACAGGAACCCAGTTGGGGAGCAATGTGACGTCACTGGGTTCGTCGCCTTGTCTACTAACCAGAGCTTCACAGTGCGAAAGCTTAAATCTTTACTTCTTATTTCTTTGAAAGAGGTTTCTTTGACTTGAAAATTATAGCTGAGGATATTTTTAAAATGAATTAGTGTTTGTAACGGGAAATTATTTAAAAAAATGGAGCCTTGTGCCGTTGCTACCTGCGGTAATGCGTACCATAATACGAAACAAACAAACGGGATATTTCAACAATTTCCGTACAGAAACCTTCAGTAGACGAAAGAATGGCAGCATAGCAAGCATACGTTTTTCTGTTTTTATTATTATTAATATTATTATTTTAAGCCCAAAGCGCTATTAATTTCGTTTTGGCATTCTGCGTTGAATCACTATAAACGCGGTATCACTTTTATAGCATAGCAAGCATACGTTTTTCTGTTTTATTATTATTATTATTATTATTTTAAGCCCAAAGGGCTATTAATTTCGTTTTGGCATTCTGTGTTGAATCACTATAAACGCGGTATCACTTAATTATTGCCAGCAAATGTTAGAGCCCTGCATTATATTTAAAGAAATTAAATAATGAAGAATTTGCATAAATGTATGTATGTTTCTCACATTGTGATAAAATGACAATACCTAGAGACATCAAATTTTGAATAACGTAATCCTCAACCGAATATGGGCATCTGTAAGCCCTAATTTGGAATTTGTTTATTATCGATTTCATATTTTGTAACACTTTAATGAATTTTTGATTAACAAACTCAACGATTTCCATGCGAGCAGTGGCAACACTGTATCCCCCGCCAAAAAAAAAATTATCTCCAGCGCGCGAGAATCTGAATCGGAAATTCTAAAGAGATGCTCATTTTTAAAATCCTTTTGCGATATTTCTGTTGAATTGAATTTTATGGTTTAAGTGCAAAGGTGGGGGTCCAGTATTTAATCAGTTCATCATATCAATGTTCAGTTTTCTTACTGAGTTGGCTTTTTTATTTGGATTTAAATTTTTTTGGATTTAAATTTTTTTTGGCCTTTTTATTATTAACGTTTTGATGTTTACTTTCTTTATGAAACATAACTTTCTTAGCGCCTCCTACACATAAAATTCGATTCAACAGCAAAATCTCAAAATATTTAAAAACATTTTTCTTTAAAATTTTCGACAGACAGTCTCGCGCGCTGGAGATAAAAATGGTTTTTTCCGTACAGTGTTGCCACTGCTTGCTTTGTGATCGTTGAGCTTGTTATTTAAAAATTCATTAAACTTTTTACAAAATATGAAATAGATAATAAAACAAATACGATATTCAAAATTTGAGCTTCCAGGTGGCCATGTTCAGGTGGAGGATTATGTACAAAATATGAAATAGATAATAAAACAAATACGATATTCAAAATTCGAGCTTCCAGGTGGCCATGTTCAGGTGGAGGATTATGTTATTCAAAATTTGGTGGCTCTATGTATAGTTGTTTTTTCACAGTTCGAGAAACATGTATACATTCATGCAGATTCTTCATTATTTAATTTCTTTAAATATAATACAGTGTGATAATGTTTGGTGGCAACAATTTGAAATGCATACGCCGTTTACAGTTATTCAACTCAAAATGCCGTATCGAGACTAATATCCCATTCGAGAATAACATCTCTTTCGGGCCTAAAAATTAATCGAGAAAATGGAAAATGAAAATTTATGTTTTAACCATATATACCGAAATACAAATAACTGCATTAGTGAAACAAAAGCGAATTAAATTGTTTCCAAATGACACTTCAGAAAGCATTGTAATTAAATGATTATGCTTAAAATGATTGGTAGATATCAGCAATTTTCCTTGAAAAGCCTCCCCGAAGGTTGAAGAAAATTCTTCAAAATGTATGGGAGCAATTGAAAATCATATTTCTAAACTTAAAAAAGGTCTTTCGTCCCTCAATAAGAACACGATTCGTTTATTTTGCTGATTATGAACAGTTATAAGAGTTTGACACTTAAATTGGAATGTATCCCTTGTGTCGGCAAGAAAAGTTAACCATAAAATAGGTAAATGGAAATAAATCATGTAAACTAATTCATTTTATTGTATTAAAAATAAGATTTTATTATTTGGTTTATTATTCATAATGTGTTATGTGATTTATTTTATGCGTTTTTGGTTATTGATGAAACTATACAAAACAAATCATGAAATTCTGCATAGAGATAAATTAGCATTAGAATACATGCTTTTAAAATATAAGACTGCACTATTCATAAGAAAGTATATAAATGTCAATTTAAAATATTTTTATTAATTTATGAGTAATGGACACTGCATAGTAATCCTGATGATCAATAATAATGCTTTCATAATAGTCATTGTCAAGACTTACAAAAACCTAATTATCTCATTTCCAGTGCTAGTTGAAAGACAAAATTAAATGAAGTGAAATTTGTTTGGATTTAATATATTATGAAATTTGTTGTTAGCATTCATTAGCTTTTAATCAGATGAATTTGTAAGGACGTATTCTGAAAATACGTTTGCATAATTTTATTTGATATTTCTATAACCCAACTTGTGATATTTTAACTCAAAAAGAATTATTCGTAAATATAGAAATTTGTCAATGTTTTTTATCGATAAGTTACTATTTACATACATTTCAAAAAATATTGTAGAAAAAAAATAACCATATTTAATGTATATTCGACTTTAAATATTAGTTTAAGGCTTATATTTTACGCGTACTATAGTTTAATTAAATCGACCATAGCTACATTACTAGGTCAGCTATATATCCATACACATTGTAATTTCATTGGATAAAATCTCTTCCTCATATTATTTACCGAACAGTTGTTCAAAAACTTTTGATTTTCAAGCAAATACTCATGAAACCGAAGGTGGTATAAGGCACTCTCAAAGCAGCAAGCGAACCCATCTACGTCATCACTCTCTTCTTCCGGTTTCAAGCGCCGAGGAGCTGATGAGCCAGCCCTTTAGCCCTGCTAACAATTATTAAACAGCAAGATAATGCTATATAAACTTCCCAGTCGAAATCAGATACGTTCGTTGTTTCATCGTTATAAAAATGTTTCTGTTAAGTGCTTAGCGAAAGGAAATTAATATATACATTGGAAATACAGAACGTTGATGTTGATGATGTATTTAATTATGGCAAAGCACACGAGGGCTATCTGCCTAAAGGGAGGGATGCCTTTCGTGGAGGACTTTCTAAGGGAAACTGGCTCGTATACACGTTACACATGGGGAAAACCACGAAAACGCCCATGCAGCCAGCCCGTTCGCGGGATTCGAACCTCAGACCGAACTACCAGTGTTCAGCGTCTTTACCGCTCGGCCGCTGGTGGGCTGGAAATACAGAACGAGCTTTGGGTTTATAAAATTTTTCAGCTCCGTATTCGTTAACAATGAAAAGCAGAAATGCCACCCGAATAAACCACTTCTGGGAGGGGCTATGTAACTGCTTGTTAAACATAGAAAATGCCGTGGTTCGCAAAGCAAATATTTATTACTGAGATATGCAGATACACGCAGAGTTACATGCAAGCAGAAATAAGTAAGTACAAGCACTAGCAGCCATAAGCTTTGGAACTTTGGATTCCAAAGCTTATGGCTACTAGTGCTTGTACTTACTTATTTCTGCTTGCATGTAACTCGGTTACAGAGGTATATATATATAACTTTATAACAGATCATGGTTTAACAAATCATAAACAAGACACAATAAATAACCAATCAAAAATAACATACAGAATGAGATTTAGTTGCAGAATAACTAGGACCTGGTTGAAAGCTAATGAATGTATCGGACGTGACAGAAAGCTATACTTCCTTTTAACCAGTAAGAATGCGATTACAAATATCTCAACGCTCCCCCTTAATCGAACATTATACAAAACATAAAAGAATTACACAATTTTTAAACAGCTCAATGATAACAGTTCATAGAATTTTGTTTTGGACAAAGCCTTAGTTAACATATCTGCAATTCGTAAACCTGACTGTACATATTCAATTCTAATATTATTTTCCTTAACAGTCTTGCGAGTGAACTTTAATTTTATATCTATATGTTTCAATCTACCTGAAAAGTTTTCATTAACAATACTTTTAATACATGACTGGTTATCTTCAAAAATATAAACATTTTTAAAACTGGAAATTTCATTTACTACATTTTTTATCCATAAAACATCTTGAATACCTTTACATAAAGCAATTATTTCAGCTTCTGTTGATGAAAGTGCAATACACTTTTGCTTGTTACAGCACCACATAATAGGACAGTTTGAAAACATTATAAAGTAACCAGTAATTGATTACCTATCTTGAGTATCTCCCCCCCAATCTGCATCTACATACAAACACAAGTTTGCCCTTTCCAAATCAACCTTTTTTTATATCAATTTAAATTTAAGGTGTTTTCAAATACCTAAGAATTCTTTTTAGAGCACACCAGGCAACATCAGTAGGATGCTCCT